AAATCTGATGATTATTTTCACTGTTTTTGGCCTAAATGTCAATACAAGTCACTAAGTAAAACATATTTAATTCGACATCGCTTATATCATTCATCCATAAAACAATTTAAATGTGATTTTAATAATTGCAATAAAAAGTATAGAAGAAAGCAAAGTTTATTTGAACACAAAAATAGTGTTCATTTAAAAAGAAGATTTATTTGTGATTTCAATAAATGTAACAAAAGTTTTTCAAACGTGTGTCATTTAAAACGACATAAAAATCATGTTCATTTAAATAAATTTAATTTTCAATGTTTTTGGCCAAAATGTAAATACAGTGCATTAAGTAAAACTATAGTAAAATTACATCAATTAAAACATTTAAACACAATGCAATTTAAATGTGATTTTAATAATTGTAATAAAAGTTATAAATCAAAATTGCAATTAATTCGTCATAAAAATAGCATTCATTTAGATAAAAAATTTATTTGTGATTTCAATGAATGCCACAAAAGTTATACAACAAAAGTGAATTTATTTCAACACAAAAGTTGTGTTCATTTGAATGAAAGAAAATTTAAATGTAATGAAGAAAATTGCGGCAAAAAATTCACAACTAAACAGAATCTTTTTCAACACAAACGCATTCATTAGGGAAAAAAACTATTTGTTTGTGATTTGAATGATTGTAACAAAACTATTTGATCAAAATTTGATTTAAAAATTCATATAAAAAACATGAATATGAAAAACCATAAATATATTAATAATAACTGTAAATAATTGGGAAATACCATCACCGTTAACAAACAGTGTCAATACATCTCAGGCACATGTGTTTTGTTTGGTTTTTTATACTAAAGTTTCCAGTTAAAGTTATACTGTGTCCATCGCTCACATCCCGAGGACTATCATTGCAAAAGTGGACACAAAATACTTCAGACAATTGGTGGCCAACGAGTAGTTGCACTGAAATTAAAAGTTTTTAACGTTATTATATTTATATGACATAATGTTTGCAATAAGTTTTTTAGCAAGTTTTATTTGTTTTAGAAAATAAAATTTATTATTGTAATGTATTTTTAAAAATTTAAAATTATATTTCATATTAAATCAAATGTTTTTTAAAAGCTATATTCTGTTTGACGGGTTAACCATAAATGGGTTACAAAACTTTTATTGGCTATGAAAACAATGACAATTAGATTAAACAAATTAATTAATTAAATAGTTTGTGAACATAAATTTTTAATCCTAGTAATTTCAAATATACAAATATAATAAAACTAAAATACAATTTATTAATTAAATCTAATTAATTAAATGTTTTTTCCACAACACTTCGCACTCAATATGTTTAAGATTTTGACCAAAATTAGTGCCAACTTTGGGCTCATTAGTGAACTCATAGTACGGGCCGATTGTCTGGCCGTCTATTGAATAGTATGGCTCCCATTGAGCGCCGCTCTGCGCCGGCGGACTCCCAGTGCGAGCAAATGTACTCAATATGGCTATCATTTGTCGGGAGACCTGCCGTTCCCTCTCAACATACTTGTGCTCATCAATCAGTGGTAAACCAAACACTGGGTATACGTCACTGAAATGACAGACACCCGCCCAATGAGCGCACAGGAACTTTTCATCGCCCGCTTTAATATTATAGTAGTACTGATAGACGCGGGCCGTCGGGTCAGCCGAGTGTACGGCTTTTGCATACAATATAGTGGGACAACCGAGCAGTACATCGCCCAACCCTACGCCCACCCGGTGGCGAAGGCTGTCCGTATCGTCTGAATGACCATTAAAATAAAACTTAACGATATCATCGGCGTTGTTGGGCAGTCCACCCGGTGTTACCAAGGTCATAAATTGCTTAAAATCACCCACTAGTTCATCACGGGTTAGAGGTTTGGGCGCCCACTTGTCATACCTGTCCGGTCGCGCCATTAGTAATATCATTGAGCCCTCGTCTTCGGTGGTGCCGATCATTAGATCCAACCCTTTCTTGTAGTCTCCGTTGCGGAGCATTACGTCCGGCGCCGACGGCAGGAGCTCTCCGTCCACTATAACGCTCATTAGGCCGGCCTCTGCTTCGGACAACACTGTCTGTACGGTTATTAACCGGTCGGCCGACTGTCCCAACAGGCAGTCAGTGAGTTGAGGGGTAAACCTACCGGTGCTCTCACTGTCGCCGGCATCGCAGCCTAGTTTGACGGCTGCGGACACCCATCGGCTCTCCAACTCGTGCTTATCGGCCACCAAACGGCTGTTGAGCGGCGTTCCGGACATCACAATCGCCCGCCGAAACAGATGTCGACTGACCGGCGAGAGTGTGAGCAGAGCTGTTGTGACGGCGCCGGCGCTCTCGCCAAAAACCGTAACCATATCGGGATCGCCGCCAAAGTATTTAATATTGTCGTGAACCCACTCCAGTGCCAGCGCCTGATCCCATAGGGCCTGATTGCCCGGCGCCGGACCCTCCGCTCCCGTGTATAGCGTACCAAATATGTTGAGGCGATAGTTAAAAGTCACTACAACTACATCGCCGAGTGCTGACAGTACGTGTCCGCTGTAAAACTTTTCAACAGCCGATCCCCACACCAGTCCCCCGCCGTGTATCCAAAACATTACCGGTCGGAGTGTGTCCGGTGCCGACGGGTTGGCCGCCGGCGACCAGATGTTTAGGTACAGACAGTCTTCAGACATGTTTGGGTTAAAGAAATTGTTGTGTAATTTTACGTGATAACAGGCGGGTGACCAGTGTTGGGCATTCAACGGCTCCGTCCACTTGTCCACTACAGGCAAAGGCCTTTTGAACCTCAGGAGTCCGACTGGTGGCTGAGCGTAAGGTATGCCCAGATATACGTCCAGATCTTTGTCTTCGTATGACTCCCGGCGCCCATCGATCACTCCATTGCCGATCCGTACGCTCACAGTATCGCCACTTTTATCATGTGTTACCTCAACACCACTCACATAAATAATTATGCCAAATAATAATATAACTATGTGAAAAATGGGTAAATTTAACATGGTTTTCAACTTAGATAACAAATTGACAAATTAATTTATATTATTTAACTTTGCATTTTAATTATTTTATTTTATATTCTCATTCATTTATATATCAATGCTATTATCGTTCACGCAATCAATTTTGTTACACTAAATCCACATAATGTTTACAGTGGATATTTTTTACTTCAACGTGGTGATTTTATAATGCAAATAAATTATATAGTAGTAATAATATTAATAATAAATTTAGTAACAATTTAATTTTTATGTTGGTTTATTATTTAAAGGACAAAGTTCAATGTAAATTGGTAAAATGCCAAAAATTTTATATTAATTTTTTTTATTTGTTTTTAATTTGCGAAATTAATTATCATTGTAAGCATAATTTAAATTGATATCAATGATGTACAGTAATTACGTTAATCAATATAAAAAAATTGCATAAATGTTACTAAATTTCTTAATTTTGATATAACTTTTACCCATGAGGTCGGATCTGGGAAATTCCTTCAGATTTGGATTCCTCTCATCCATACCTTTCCATTGATATACAATATGACTTACTTATTCATAAAATACAAGATTTTATATTCAAATTTTCTCCGATAAAAGTGGTCACTGCGGCTAAACCCGAGGTCGTCTGGCCAAATAAAGTACACCACAATACTTCCTACAGAGTGTACTTTTGATTTATAACTATAATTCCCGATTGCACTCTTGGCATTTTATGAACATTATTATTTATAATAAACATAATGATCTAATACATTCAACATAAATGTTATATTTATGGATTTTGTAAACGAGTTTGATTGTGATTAATAAATAGTTAAGTACATTTTAAACACGCAAGGAATACGTTTGTAATTATCAATATTATATCAATATTATCAATACTGTATTAGATTAAAACACTCGTTAAAACTACGTTTCACCAACTGGCCTTGGGCAAACAGGCTTATAATTTGGGTGACTGATTTGGGTAATTGCAATAAGTGGTACTGTACGTCTATGGTCGCACCCGATCATTCTGACCAATTTACATTATTAAATAAGCTGGTATTAATAATTGTAGTATAATAATGCTAAAAGTTGCAAGTCAATTGTTGGATTTTAATAAAATTATCTTTATTAATTTATTTAAAACTTAAACACATCTTTTACAAACATATCAATTTATTTTTCTCATACATTGAATTAAATTTGTGTTTAATATTTACTGTATACAGTATAGATTTTACAGTTAATTTATAAGGTATTGTTTATTTTATCATATACATTCAAAGTTTGAAAACAGTGCAATTAATTTTATTATTAATATTAATTAAGATTTAATTAATTGTTTGTATTATTTACTTGATTACATTAAAAAACTTTAACTTGATAAATAAATGTTAGTTTTTTTACTATAACTTATTATAATTAAATAACGTAAATATTAATTTTTAAAATAAAGTAACATTGCTAAATTAATTACTACATTAACAATATTATAATTTGTCTATGGTCGCATCTGGTCATTCTGGCAAATGTATACTGGTGAGAGACTTTATAATATGATATAATATGTATAAAATAACTTTACGTCCCGTTAAATCATTATGTATTTTTTTAATTGTAAATGCTTATGATTTAAATGTTGTATTAATTCCTTTTTCGTAACAAACCGTTGATTACAGTTATTATGAATACATTTATAAAGTTTTATATTATTATGTCTTCTCATGTGATCTTTGAGATGTGATTTTTGGACAAAACTTTTGTTACAACCATTGAAATAACAAATAAATGGTTTTTCTCCCGAATGTATGCGTTTGTGTTGAATGAGACACTGTTTTGTTATAAAATATTTGCCACAATTTTCTTCATTGCATTTGAATTTCTTTTCATTCAAATGAACACAACTTTTGTGTCGAAATAAATTATGTTTTGTTGTAAAACTTTTGTTGCATTCATTGAAATCACAAATAAATCTCACATTTAAATGAATGCTTCTTCTATGTTCATTCAACTCGGATTTAAATTTATATCTTTTATTACAATTATTAAAATCACATTTAAATTGTTTTATTTCTAAATGAATTAATTCATGTTTAATTAATTGACTTTTATAGTGTGTGTTATATTGACATTTAGGCCAATAACAGTGAAAATAATCATCAGATTTAGTAATGATATGACAATTGTTTAGCATTTTATCACTGATTTTACATGAATTGCAATCAATTGTTTGATTGATTGAAAAATAATCATTATTTTCGCATTCAATCGCTTCACACAAAACACTATTATTTGTATTCAAAATACACTGAATTTTGTCTATTATTTCACACAAACCCTTCATTGCATTTAATTTACTCTTTATTTCAATCAACGAAACACTAATCAAATTTGAGCACATTTTCAGCAATACAGTAAATACAAAATTACTAAAAATATATTAAAAACTTAAATCCATTTGACTTATTACTGCAAAAGTATATACAGATTATATTTATTAGTTTATAATATAAACTTTATATTATCTGTTAATTTAAGTGTTTATATTATATCTTCCTGTCTCATGACTTTTACTCCCGGATATTATACTGGTAAATACATTTTACAATCAAAATTTAATATCTATTTACTTTTCAAATTTAATATTAGTTTATTATAGATTATATAGTTTTTTGTGTTAATTTTATATCTCATTATTTTATATGTTATATATTACTTTCAATACTGATTACTAATTAAAACTTATAATAATTAGTCCAAAACGTATCGCAATCGCTGTGAAAGGGGTTCACTAATACTCGGGTTGTGTTCAATGGATTCAAGTCTTTGATATGAATCACATTATTGTCCACCAATTGTGGCCATTCCTCATCAGCTTTCCTATTAATAAACATTAAATCAATTAAAACATGATATAGTACATTATAATAACATTATAGTTCAATATAATTACAACAATATTTAATTAATAAACATAGCTGTAATAAAATCATGTTTACCCAGTTTTAGCAAAATTAGTCCACAATCTCATCACATATTTACTGAAATCAATGTCCAGTTGGGTATGAGTTTTGGGATCCATCCATAGGGGTAGACCCCACACAAACTCCACGTCCGAGCCGTGACAAATGCCCATGGTCTTCTCATCGCACCCGGTCTGTCTAGCCCACTTACTCTGATAAGTGAGCTCATACATGTAAACGTGGTGTTTATTCTTATCCTGATGTTTGGCGTACTCTTTGGCCATCAAATAAGTACAACATTTTACATGAAGATCACCGAAAAAATCGTAAAACCCTTTCCGTAACTCATCCGACGTGTGATTCTTATTGTCATTATCTTTGAGATAATGTCTGCGAATTGATTGCAGATCTAATCCGTGGTATGAGTTGTTAGTCCGGGTCACCAATTGGTCAAAGATTTGGTCAGTGATGTTGTGGTGCAGTTCAGCGAACCCGCCGTAAGCCAGTGATGAGCCCTCGTTTCGGTTAACACCCGCTAATATATCTAGATCTAAAATGTGAGCATAGTAAACATTAATCGGTTGTATTATTTAATTAATTACATTAAAAAACTTTGAATAAATGTTTTAAAAATTTTTAACTTATTACTTATCAAAATCAAATATGTTAAAATAAGTCAATAAAATTTTTAAATAAAAGTAGCATTGCTAAATTAATTAATACAGTAGCAATATAAAAGGTAATTAATATTATAAATATAAATAAGGTATTTTTAAAAATATAATACTAACTTTGGTTATATTTTGATTGACTGAAAGCATGCTGTATAGATAGGGGCAAAAACTCTGTGAACTCCAATGGAAACGTAAACTGTGATCCAAAGCGTTGAAACTCTTTGGCCGCGACTTTACGTAAACAGTCTAACCAATGGTCGGCATTACCGGCACCACTGATACTACAGTTCAGTGTCTTTGCTATGTGTGTGGACTCGGCCATGGATTCGGCGATTGTGTGCTGTTGTCGGGCATTGAAGTGGAGGTTAGCGCCCGACTCCATGATCACCCGCTGGAACAGACCGGTGGCCACCGGACTTACTATCAGCGCCGATATGGATCGACTGCCGGCGCTCTCACCGAATACAGTGATCTTAAATTTGTCGCCACCAAAGGCCCCGATGTTTTCCCGTACCTAATAAAGTGTAGTTTGATGTAATAATAAGTTGTTTGTACATAACATTTAACTACAATTAAACTAAAATATTTATGTAAACTATAAATATAATGTAATGGTAATAAGGTTTAAGTGCATAAACAAATATATAAAAACATATAATTATTATTAAACATTTAATTACCCATTTAAGCGCCTCCACCTGGTCATAGAGACCAACATTTCCGGGCGCCGACTCAACCCCGCCATACAAAAAGCCATACTTTCCCAATCTATAGTTGACTGTGACTATTACCACGTCGTGTGCGGACAAATACGAGCCGTTGTAGTGACCAAAAATGGTGCCCCCATTGAGTCCACCCCCGTATAGCCATAACATTACCGCTTTTGGTTCGCTATTATTTTGTGCCGCTTTCGGCGCCCATATGTTTAACACCAAACAGTCTTCACTCTGTTTTAAGTTTGGATTATTGGGCGTCTGATAGCATGAATGTCCCGGTTTTGTGCCGTCTATTGTTCCCTGATAAAAATAATTAGTTTACAATCTAGTTCATTATTTGTAGGGTTTATTATATTTAATTATATAATTTTAATTTATACAATAAGTATGTATAAATTGCACTCACATTCACGTGCCCTTTGAATGATGAGGGTTTGGCAAACCGGAGTTTGCCGACCGGGGGCTCGGCGTACGGGATATTCAAAAACTGATTAATATTAGTATTGAGCGCCCGTACGGTCAGCCCCTTAACAGTGCCGGACGTTGTGTGCACTTCAACACAACTAATGCACGCAAAATACAATTGAATTAAACACAACGTTTGTTTAATCAACATTGTTGCTTTAATTTATTATACTTATTACAAAATATAATAATAATTGAAATACTCTAAATAGTATTTGACAACTAAAAAAGTGATGTGTGTTTTGTAAGTTTACTGTATAAAGATATAACATAATTAAGGTTATTTATATAGTACAATAGGATTTATTTATAATCCAGGTGAGAATTATGTCTGATGCTTTTCTGATTTGATTAAATAATGTTATAGTTAAGTGGAAATTTTTTAATTTTACATAATTATTTACCAGGATATACATTGTTAAATAATTGCTGATTAAATCTACAATGATTAGTGTTTTATTGCTATATTTTTAATAAAGTCTAAATTTAGTTAGACTCTAAAACTTAATTTATAAAAAATATAAATATATACCAAATTTTAAAAGAAAAACTAAAACGAATTTTATTTTAACAGATTTAGTAATGTATAAAAAGATTATTTTTATTAAAATAATTAATTAAAATTTATAATAATAATTCTAATTTCTAATTTGACTGGTAAGTGGCTTTTTAAAATAAAAGCCACCATATTCATATATTCATATTATCGAAATGTTTTACTTTTTGCCATCAAATAAGTCATGGATAATAATTTCTGTTATAATAATATAGCTTTATTTTAAATGTTTCCGATTTATGTGTCGTTTTAAATCACTTTTCGTAACAAAGCGTTGATCACAGTTATAATGAATACATTTATGAAGTTTTATATTCAGATGTCTTTTCATATGAGTCTTAAGTTTGGCTTTTTGTGTAAACCATTTTTTACAATTATTGAAATGACAAACAAATGGGTTTTCTCCCGTATGTATGCGTTTGTGATGATTTAGATGCTGTATTATGTTAAATCTTTTGCCACAATTTTCTTCATTACATTTGAATTTTCTTTCATTCAAATGAACACAACTTTTGTGTCGAAATAATTGTCTTTTTGTTGTAAAACTTTTGTGGCATTCATTGAAATCACAATTAAATCTCACATTTAAATGAACGCTATTTTTGTGAGTAATTAAATGTGATTTCCATTTATAACTTTTATTACAATTATTAAAATCACATTTAAATTGTCTTATTTCTGAATGAATTGATTGATGTTTATTTAAGTCACTTTTCCCTTTGGTTTTATATTGACATTTAGGCCAAAAACAGTGAAAATAATCATCAGATTTAGTAATGATATGACAATTGTTTAGCATTTTATCACTGATTTTACATGAATTGCAATCAATTGTTTGATTGATTGAAAAATAATCATTATTTTCGCATTCAATCGCTTCACACAAAACACTATTATTTGTATTCAAAATACACTGAATTTTGTCTATTATTTCACACAAACTCTTCATTGCATTGAATTTACTCTTCATTTCAATCAACGAAACACTCATTAATTTTGAACACATTTTTAACAATAAATATAAAATATTAAAAACATGAAAACATTCAAAACTCAAATGTGTTTAACTTTAAGTTGTAATAAAATTAAATGTAAACAATTTTATAATTTGCATTTATGGTAACACTTATATTTTAGATTATGATTGAAATCAAATATTTTCTTATGAAAACTTTCTCATCACTGGCTTTCATCAAGTTTTTGATTTTATTGCTTAAGTTATTTAATACTTATTATATAAAATAAATATAAATTTTGATTACATTTTTAAACCTGTATTTTTTGTTCAAATTTTTTGAGCATGTTTTAAAGTGAAATTATTATTATATTTATTTTATATTTATCTATTTTTATTAAAAACATGCTAGATAAGCAAAATAATATTTTCATATTGCTTGATTTTTTATGTTTATTAATTAATTAAAATTTATAATAATTAGCAGAGTCGAGAATGGAATGAGATTTAGTTGTAATCATCACACGACAAAAAATTTAAACTTTATATTTTTTATTTTTTTCGACTCTTTATCTGATTTTGACAAACTATATAACAAATTGTTTGGAATAAAATAAGACGTATATCAGGATTTCTATTGTAAACAAAGGAATATGAGTATTGTGATATAAAGTGATAAAATATACACAACTGTAACTCCTTACCATTTAAAATCTACATGTTCAATTTTAATGATCAGTATATCTGAATGATCAAAAAACTGAAAAATTTTAATTATAAAATATTTGATAAATGATTACAACTAAATATCTTTCCATTCTCGACTCTGATAATTAGTCCAAAACGTATCGCAATCGGTATATTCAAAAACTGGTTAATACTAGTGTTGAGCGCCCCTTAACAGTGCCGGACGTGGTGTGCACTTCTACATAACTAATGCACGCAAATTACAGTTGAATTAAACATAACGTTTGTTTAATCAACATTGTTAAAAATGTTTTAAAAATATTTTACATATTAAAAATATACTAATATAAATAACTGAAATATTCTAAATAGTGAAAAATCACCAAAAAAAAGTGATATTTGTTTTGTAAGTTTGCTGTATAAAGATACGATATAATTAAGGTTATTTATATTGTAAAGTTACAATAAAATTCATTTATAATCCAGGTGAGAATTATGTCTAATGTTTTTCTGATTTGATTAAATAAAGTAATTATAATTAGGTGGAAATTTTTAATGTTACGTAATTATTTACCCAGATATAAATCATTAAATAATTGTTGATTAAATCTACAATGATTAGTGTTTTGTTATATTTTTAATACAGTCTATAACTTAATTTATTTAAAAACATAAGTATATACTAAATGAATGAACAAGCTTCTCATTAAAAATATAATTAATAAATTATAATTCATTTTATTAATAGGTTTTAACGATAAAACACTTTTTCGTTTTCATTTTAATGTCTGAATTAATTTGTAAAGTTATTTATGTCTTTCAATGTGTACTTTGAGATGAATTTTTTGTCGAAAACTTTTGTCACAATCATTTAAATGACAAACAAATGGTTTTTCTCCCGAATGTATGCGTTTGTGAAGAATTAGATTAGATTTTATGTTAAATTTTTTGCCACAATTTTCTTCATTACATTTGAATTTCTTTTGATTCAAATGAACACAACTTTTGTGTCGAAATAAATACTGTTTTGTTGTAAAACTTTTGTGGCATTCATTGAAATCACAAATAAATCTTACATTTGAATGAACACTATTTTTATGGCGAATTAAATCTGATATTCGTTTAAAACTTTTATTACAATTATTAAAATCACATTTAAATTGTTTTATTTCTGAATGAATTACTTGATGTTCAGTTAAATGTCGTTTATGTGTTGCTTTGTATTCACATTTAGGCCAAAGACAGTGAAAATATTTACAATTATTAATATTATGAACATATGCTTTATGTTTATTTAAATAATGTTTTGATGCAAAACTTTTGTGGCATTTATTAAATTTACAAATAAACCTCATATTTGAATGAATGTCATTTTTGTGTCTAATTAAATGTGGCGAATCTTTGAAAATTTTATTACAATTATTAAAATCACATTTAAATTGTTTTATTGATGAATGAATTAATTGATGGTAATTTAAGTGACCACGATGTTTGGTTTTGTATTGACATTTAGGCCAAAAACAGTGAAAATAATCATCAGATTTAGTAATGATATGACAATTGTTTAACATTTTATCACTGATTTTACATGAATTGCAATCAATTGTTTGATTGATTGAAAAATAATCATTATTTTCGCATTCAATCGCTTCACACAAAACACTATTATTTGTATTCAAAATACACTGAATTTTGTCTATTATTTCACACAAACTCTTCATTGCATTTAATTTACTCTTCATTTCAATCAACGAAACACTCATTAATTTTGAACACATTTTTAACAAAAATATTTTATTAAACTATTTGATTTTCACTGAAATATATTGTGTCAAACCTATGCATCACTTTAAATACCTTTTAGCAAATAATAAAATATCCGGTGATTATCCATGCATTCATTGCATCCCTGATTATAATCTATAATCCTTTATCTCTAATACACTGTATATATTCTTGAGTTATTGACCTCTCAATGGCATATATGGCAATAAACTCACGTCTCTATCAATTAAACCTGATTTCAAAGCTTTTGATCAAACAATTTGTTGTTTTCCTAAATTCTCGGTAAACAGTATAATCATAAGTGACCGCAAATATTTGCGAAAAATTACAAAATTGACCAAGAAATTTAAAAATATTTCTGGCAACGCTATGAGTCATATCTGGCTTTTATAACTAGATTTTATGATTATATTTCCTAAAATTATTGAATATTCATTATAATATAAACAATATTTTATAACCATTTTGCACATCTGTATTTTTTTGGTTTAAGTTCATTAAATATTAGCATTTACTAACATGTATTTCATGTTTTATCTATGTATATTTAGTGTAAACATGATAAGTAAACAAAATAATGTTATCATATTAGAGCTTGTCTATTTTGTTTAATTTTTAATTAAAACTTATAATAATTAGTCCAAAACGTATCGCAATCGCTGTGAAAGGGATTCACCAACACTTTGGTTGTGTTCAATGGATTCAAGTCTTTAATATGAATGACATTATTGTCCACCAATTGTGGCCATTCCTCATCAGCTTTCCTATTAATAAACATTAAATTAATTAAAACATTATAACACAATATAATTACATTATAATCACATTAAAAACTTGTTGCAATATAATTATAGCAATATTTAATTAATAGACATAGCAGTAATAAAATAATATTTACCCAGTTTTAGCAAAATTAGTCCACAATTTCATCACGTATTTACTGAATTCAATGTCCAGTGGGGTATGGCTTTTGGGATCCATCCAAATAGCATTTCCCCACACAAACTCCAAATCCGAGCCGTGACAAATGCCCATGGTCTTCTCATCGCAACCCATATTTTTGGCCCATTTACTCTGATAGGTGAGCTCATACATGTAAACGTGGTGTTTATTTTTATCCTGATGTTTGGCGTACTCTTTGGCCATCAAATAACCGCCGCATTTGACGTGAAGATCACCAAAAAATGCGTAAAACGCTTGCCTTAACTCATCTGACGTGTGATTCGTGAGGTCATTGTCTTTGAGAAATTGTTTGCGGACTGATTGCAGATCTAATCCGTGGTACGACTCGTTTGCCCGACCGACCAATTGGTCAAACACTTGGTCAGTGATGTTGTGGTGCAGTTCGCCGAACCCGCCATAAGCCAGTAATGAACCCTCGTTACGGTTAACACCCGCTAATATATCTAAATCTAAATTGTAATCATGGTTAATAATTAAATTTTGCGTTAATAATTAGTTTTTAAACTTTTAGTTATTAGTTTTTAAATGATTTACGATAATTGTGCTTAATTATTAATAATATACTTATACTATTATTATAAGCACTTTGCTTATACAGTAGATCTAAATTACATTGAACATCAAAACAAACTAACCTTGGTTATACTTTGACTGATTAAATGCTTGCTGTATCGATAAAGGTAAAAATTCTGTGCCTTCCAACGGGAAAGTAAACTGAGATGTAAAGCGTTGAAACTCTTTGGCTGGGACTTTACGTAAACAGTCTAACCAATGGTCGGCATTACCGGCACTCGTACTACAGTTCAATGTCTTTGCGATATGTGTGGACTCGGCCAGGGATTCGGAGATTGTGTGCTGCTGTCGGCCATTGAAGTGGAGGTTAGCGCCCGACTCCATGATCACCCGCTGGAACAGACCGGTGGCCACTGGACTCACTATCAACGCCGATATGGACCGACTGCCGGCGCTCTCACCAAATACAGTGATCTTGGATTTGTCGCCACCAAACGCCCCGATGTTTTCCCGTACCTAATAATGTGTATAATTAGTTGTCATTAAGTTTTAACAACACTATCTATGTTTAAATATAAATGTAAACATTTAATTACCCATTTAAGCGCCTGAACCTGATCCCAGAGACCCACATTTCCGGGCGCCGTCTCATCTCCGCCGTACAAAAAGCCATACTTTCCCAGTCTATAGTTGACGGTCACTATAACCACATCATGTGAGGCCAAATACGAGCCGTTGTAGGCGCCAAAAATGGTGCCCCCATTGAGTCCACCCCCGTATAGCCATAACATTACCGCTTTTGGTTCACTTGTATTTTGTACCGTATTTGGTGTCCATATGTTTAACACCAAACAATCTTCGCTTTGTTTTAAGTATGGATTATTGGGCGTCTGATAGCATGAGTTTCCCGGTTTTGTGCCGTCTATAGTGGCCTAACAAAACATTAATGTAGGATCAAAATTAATGAGCTTGTTCATTATTAACGGGTAATTTTATATTTTATATAATTGATTTTTAATTGCATATTTTAGGTAAATATACTTACATTTACGGCCGCTTTGAATGGTAAGGGTCTCCCGAACCGGAGGTTTCCTATGGGAGGCTCGGCGTACGGGATATTCAAAAATTGGTTAATACTAGTGTTGAGCGCCCGTACGGTCAGCCCCTTAACAGTGCCGGACGTTGTGTGCACTTCAACACAACTAATGAACGCGAAGTACAATTGAATTAAACATAAATACAAAGCGAGTTTAATTGCCATTACTTGTGATTTAGTTAATTGTAATTATAATAAAGTTTATTTGTAATAAAAATTGAATATTTATCTAAATTGTACAATAAAAAGTACTTTTTGTTTTGTTGATTAGCTGTATTACTATACCAAATAAGCTAGGCTATTTATATTATATTTAACAATATGCTAAGGTTCTTTTATAATCTCGGTGAGAATGATACAAGCTGTTGTATATTAAAGGTTTATTAAATAAGCCTTATTATAGTTGAAAATGGAAATGTACTCAGGATATAAAGTAAATGGGTAGATTAAGTAAATTGAGTTAATTGTGATAATTGTTTTTATATCCAAATAACATCGTTAGATTAATTAATAAAAGCTCAAGCAATTAAAACCTGTGCATTAAAATATTTGATTGAATTTTATTTCAAAACATTTTTACGCAAATAATTCTAAACATTTTTGTATAATTAACTTATAAAAGAAAGTAAGACAAAATTATAATGGTAGAATTATTTTATAATTAATAATCTAATTACAAAACTCCGTATATGGTGGTAGATTTTTAAATTGTAACAATACAAAATAGGATAAATCTTAAGAAATATAATTACATTTCTTATTTTTCTTATTTTTTCTTCTTCCCAAACATTTGTAATTAATTGCCACTTATATGCCAATGAGTTTGATTAAATTTTACTGTTACAGTTCATAATTGTTTTATTTAAAATTCTTAGTACAATTAAACATTTCATTTAAACAACTCTCTGGTATTTGTTTGCACCTGTTATAATAAAATGATATTAAGTTTATTTATTAATTTACTGTAGATAACAATTTATATTATTAATACTATAATTGTATTGCGTTAATTAACTTGTTATTGAATAAAATATATTTTGAATTGAATTAACAAAAATATATAATTTTACAACATTAATTGTATAGTTAATAATATTAATACACAACCAGTGAAATGCCAACATCCAATCTACAAGTGTTCACATACAAAGTACATACCGTATAAAATGACATAACTTTACTTATAATATTATGTCAAATCCATTTAGATTGGAAGTTGGAATTGACCTGTACACAACTATTTAGTAATTTATATGATTTATCTGCTATTTTATTAATGGATGAGGCGGTGAACACAACTACTAAAAATAGAGACAGTGAGTTTACCGCGGCATACAACATGACCATTTTAAATAAAAATAATATGTTTGCAAATAAACCAACATATAGTTCAAAGGTTATAAGAGAGCCGAACACAAACCATAACGATAGCACATATTTCGACCAATAAGTAGTGTTGTATTCACTGATTTCACTGTGAATGTCATCCAGTAATTGAATTGTGTGTAAAATATTATGCGATTTTGTGTTCAATCTATTGTTTATTGAATTAAATTTAATTTTCAGATAATTTGAAAGTAAGTAAAAATATGTGAATTTCCATAAAACAATTCGGATGCCAAAAAATAATACATAGTTATATATAACATAATTAGGTATACCATAGATAAGTGCAATTAATAGTGTATTGCACATAAAATATGGTAATAGAAATAGTAATCCCAATAATAATGAACCACTTGTTACAATGACATTGTTTAATGTAAATACAATTTTAGCCATTTTAATAAATTTCCGAACAGCATCCGGGTCAGTTAGACCGATACTATTGGGAGTAATCATACCTGACATCATAGTGAATACGAGTAAAAATGTCGGTGAAATGTCGCGCATATAGTTATAAAAATATATAACTTGAATGCTTATTATAAAACACAAACCTATCATGATTAAAAATTTAATATGATTTCCAATGCCTAACATATGGGATATATCGCCAAATAATAAAGCAATTATATTGTTTGGCGATTCACTAATTAAATTATTTGTATTTGCGCAATTTATCATGTTTATAATTAATAAATAAATTAACCCAGATGTTATTACCACAGGCTTTGAGTACCATGGTCTATTTGGTGGTGTCTGTGATGTTTTGATGGATAACCCAATCGTAAATAACTGATTCGCTGCCGATTTTAAATGTAATTCTTGAGGTAATATTTCATTGCATTTAATGTTAGATGTTATTAATTCTTGAGGCAATACATGGTTGAATTTAAGGCCAACCATTATTAATACCGATATTAAATGCTTATGATTTATTTAAATCTGACCTATATATTATATCATATATTTTTTAAAATGTTTTGTAACTTTAACCTTAATATTATAAAAGCATATTTAAATTTAAAGTAGAGAATCATTAACTAATCATTAATTATAAGTATAATTACTAATCTATTTTTAGTGCATTATATAAAATGTCATTTAAATAAAAGGAAAATTACCATAAACAATTTTATATAAATCTAATAAAGTAAATCATTATATCGTAATAATTGCAAATTTTATGCTAGTATGATTAATGGTAGCATGCTATCATTAACGGTGAAATAGCAATTATATTTTTGTTTTAAGTTAGCTTTAAAATTTATCAAAAAGGTAATAATATTATTTAAAATTTAAATAATAAAATTTATTTATTGTTTATAATATCAATAAATTGCCAATTTTTAAACTATAACTATTATATTTAATATAAAATAAAACACGGGTCAAATAAATCCGTGATTATGTTAACACCTGGTCCAATAAAATGATAGCAAAATTAACCAT